TAAGACTTCTCAAGGACTGCATTGTCACAATCTCATTATATTAAGACAGTACTTGAAAAATTCAAGCACTTGGGCTTTAAAGTTGCAAAGACTCCAATTGATGTGAATCTTGCATTAGCAAAGAACAAAGGCCAAAGCATATCACAATTGGATTATGCTCGTGTGTTGGGTTGCTTAATGTACATCATGAATTGTACACGACCAGATATAGCTTGTGCTATAAGTAAATTGAGTCGATATATGAGCAATCTAGGTCAATCTCATTGGATGGCCATGAAACGACTTTTGGGGTATTTAGTACATACCCAGGACTTTGCTTTGCACTACAGTAAATATCCTGCGGTCATTTAGGGATACTGTGATGCAAATTGGATCACCGGATCAACTGATTCAAAGTCCACAAGTGGATATTTATTCACTATCGGTGGAGGAGCGGTATCTTGGAAGTCGTCCAAACAAACTTGTATTGTCCGCTCTACAATGGAGGCTGAATTCATAGCCTTAGATAAAGCTGGTGAAGAAGCTGAATGGCTCCGGAATTTCTTGGAAGATATTCCATTTTGGCCCAAACTATTGGCACCAATATGCATACATTGTGATAGTCAAGCGGCAATTGAAAGGGCTGGGAGCGTTATGTATAACGGTAAATCTCGTCATATACGACGAAGACATAAAACCGTTAGACAATTACTCTCTAGAGGAATTATCACAATTGACTATGTAAAGTCAAGTGATAATGTGTCGGATCCACTTACAAAAGGCCTAACTAGAGAGGTAGTTGAGAAATCATCAAGGGGAATGGGACTGTGGCCGAGAACAAGTCATAGTGGCGGTAACTCTACCTAGAAGACTGGAGATCCCAAGATCTAGGTTCAAGGAGATCAAACAAAGTCATTAATGACGGTTCAACATTGTCAAATAAATTTTTGGTCCATTCTCGTGATGAGACAATGTTCAGTACCAAGGATAAAGCATTAAGGCTTTTTAATGATTTTTAAATTTGATACGGGGTATATCAAATAGCGTATCTACGGGATGACACGTTTAGGAATCACCTATGTAAGTGTGAAGTTTTAGCCGCTTCAAGGAGAACTTCGTAAGGCCAGTTCTCTACGCACTTATGAAACCAGGCGGTGTTCATGGCTGAAACGAACACAACAATGAGAACCAAAGACGGTTAAGGGTTGGTTGTGTGACTTGTGGTTGTCTAGGTATACACCAAAGTTCGACGGTTCAAAGATATCAAATCTACCGATTGATCGAGTATATCCGACATAAGTTCACTACGGAAAGTTCAAAGGGAAACCTACTTATCCAGATGCAATTAATCCTTACTTGCGAGTCACACAGTTTTTCATGCATACTTCCGTGATATAGCCATTCCCCATTCATGTGGGGGATTGTTGGGTTTTGTATGTATTTAATTAATATATTAAATACTTAAAAGAGGGTGAATGGGAAATGGAGGGAAATGAAATTTTTGAGTGAAATTTTAAGTTTCCCCCTTGGTAAATGGACATTGTCGCATATTGGAAGAGGAATAGGTTTTTTATGGGTATATAAGTAATTGCTCTTCTTCTAGCTCTTAAAGAGTTGAGAAGAAGGCAAGCCTCGCGCCGTTGTCGTCGTTGTCGTCGTCGCTCGCTCGGCTCGGCTCGGCTTCGGCTTCGGCTTCAGATTTGGATTCGGATTCGGATTTGGATTTGGATTTGGATTTGGTCAAATGATCAATTGATTGATTAACTTTTTGGACCAAATTTATTTGTTAATAGTAAAATATTAACAGAAATGTTATTAAATATTTGTTTTAATGACAGAATATTAATATTAAATCCAATACGTTTTTCTGTTTTGGTAACAGAAAAGTAACTACCCTCTTCAATTTTCCCTGTTTATTTTCCCTCTTTATTGTTGAGTAAATGGCCATTTATGTAATGGCATTTATGCTGTGGCCGTTTTGCATAAACAACCATTCTGAAGAGTTGCACCTCTTCATATTTCAGCCCAACTTTGGCTATAAATACAACACTATTCTGCTCAGAATTTCACTACGATTTTCTGAGTTTCTTCTCCTTTTTCAGCATACTTTTAGCATCAAACAAAGCAAAAGTAAGTGTGATTTGCTACCGAACTTTATGTTCGCTGAAACACTGGGGTTTGAAGTACCACTACACCAGTGTGTAATTTGTTCTATCCTGGGAGGAAATAATCCATAACCTTGGGTACTAGGAGGGGATTAAATTCCTTAAGGAAACACTGTGAATTCAGTGGGCTCGAATTGGTTTTCTGTCATTTCTGTTTATGTTCATTTCTGTTTATATTCATTTATATTTCCAGAATTATTTTACAAATACAGTATACTAACATATATTAATAAATTAAAGTTTAAAATAGTTGTCACTTTGATTTGATTTGACAACTATACTTTTTATTCTTCCAAGTAATCCCTAAGCGGACGTTTCAATTCTAGTGCTAGTTTTCATTCATTCTTCATATTTCAGAAGATATATATCTTCTTCTTTCCTCTTTATTCATGATTCATGCTCATCTTCTTAATTCTTTCTACTGGATTTCTTTCTTTCTCCAAGACTCCAACAAACCAACAGCAAGATATTTTGGAATCAAAGTCTTCAAACTTCGTGAATCAGCCAATCATTGGGTAATATCATTCTAACTTTCTAATAATATTTTTATTTGTTACTTATTATTTTATTAATTTTACTCTGTACATATTGTTTAATTTTTTTTTTTTTAGAATATAAATATGTCAACAAGAAAATATGCATCTGGTTATTCAAAAATACAAAAGAAAAGAAAAGTTGAAAATTTAATAAAATCTCAAAAAGGAGCTCTTGACAAATTTTCGACAAACAATGAAAAATAAGGCCCCATATTAAACTTTCGCCTTAGGCGCCATATGCGCTTGAGCCGCCCCTGACTAAGAGAAAGACTCCAATTACAGCTAACTGGTGTGACATATTCATGCAGCACAGGTTTCAATATCCTGCTTATGAAGCATGTTTACTTATCCTACAAATGAAATTCTAACTAATATAGATAATTCCTTAGCAGTGCATAAAAACAAGCCTTGAACAGGTAACTGAATCAGAATACATGATAAAAAGCAAAAGCTTTTTCGTGTCTATGCTAGAAAATCACGTTTGTTTCCTTAATCTACTTATACCCC